ACCCTTGATACAAGGAAGAATGGCACGCTGCTGGATGGCAGAGGGCTTCTCAAAACCATAGGCATAGATGCCTCGAAGAAGGGACTCAGAGAGGTTCATGTCATCGAAGCTGTCAACAATCTCATTCCAATTACTCTACAAGATTCACAAAAAAATTAAACCCTAAGTATGGAAAAGGAGAGAGTGGTACAAAGGAGATCTGGTCTGTAATTTCCCACAGCCTCTTCAGGGAAACCCAATGTTTCTACACATGGAGGTAAACACACTTAAGATGTGCTGTCCATTCAACACATTGTGTATGAAGTTGGGAATTTAAAAATGTCCCACAATAGGAGGTACTGAGAATAAAACTTTAGTTCTTAAACTACCATTTCAGGAGCAAAGAAGCACTGCTAGGGACATTGTTCCTTCCGTACAGGTTGTGCCAGGTTCCAGTCTCACCTCGATGACGCCTTCAGGCTCCATCCCATCTGGGCCATTGTCTCGGGATCTGTTGATTTAAAGCATGAGTTTTGTCCCCTGGCTGAATCAAGCACTTTGGCAACCAATCATGCATAATGCCATTAGCCCCCCATCAGACTCCCCCAAGTTCCCAAGACACTCACAAGTCACTTTAGAAGCCAAGACTTAGCCCCATCTCAGGAGTGACTCAAGAGTGGGCCACCCACCCGCCCCACCCTTCTGACATGAGGTAGCCCTCTTTGAAGACCTAGGGGACATAAGGCTTGCGGCTGAGCCAAAGTGGCCAGGATGCAGAGCTAGCTGCAAGGCCCACGTGTGCAGGGCCTGGCTGCTGAAAGCCCAAGCGCGTGCACCTCCCACCGCAGCATCAGCACGCCGGAAGTCCCGCCCTTCACCCAGATGAAGGGTAGGACATCCCCTTCCCCCCACGTCATTCCGCCCGCGCCCTCCCCCACTCCCTCAACCGAGTCCCCCCCTCACAGTGCCCGGATGTGGGAGGCCGCGGGCGGTGGTGGCCTCACGCACAATGAGCCCCAGCCGAGCTAGCAAAGGGGGAGATTGCACAACACTTAGAAGCGAAGCAGACTGGGGGAGGGGAACCCCTCAGGCCGCCATGTGCTCGCTCCCTCGACCACCCAGCGGCGTCTCGCCCCCACCCATGGAACAATCCACATCCCGCCCGCCCCCGTCGCGAAATGGCGTCGCCCTCCCATACCTCAGGCCGCTCACCCCCGAAGGAAAGTGGACCTGCCCATCCGCAGTTTGCCAATTGCCCGGCTTGTGCGGCAAAATGGACCCGCCCGCCCGACGCCGGGTGGGCTCCTGGTGCCTCACGCGGCCGCTCCTCGGGGTTAGGCTCAGTCCTGGCCGTCAAGAAAACCAGCACACTGAACGGCCGGTTTCTTCTCCCCCCGACCCACATTACAACCGCGACGAAGCGACTTGCCGAGGACCAAGGCACCCCCACCACTTGCGAGTGGTACCGTCAGGACCCTCCGGAGCCCCACGCGCGAGCCCTCCCCAGGCACAGGGAGGCGACCGGACCGGCCAGCTCGGGGCCGCCTCCGCCTCTTTCCCACGCTAGGTCGCGACCTCGTCTCGCCACTCAGCGTCGGGGCTTCGCACACGGCACCGCCCCGGGTCGAGACCTTGCGAAGACCCTCGCGCGCTCGGCCCTAGCCGAGCTGTCCTTCCCTCTGCCCCGGGGGCAACGTCGGCCGTGGATCTTTCCCCTCGCCCCCCGGACGATTCCTCCCGCTGGGTCTTCCCCGCAACCCTGGGGGGCCTAGGGCGGTGGGACTTTGCGGGTCCCCAAGGAAGGGCCCTCTGAAGGGAGCGGCAGGGTAAGTAGCCACAATCTCTTACGAATGCTTTTCTTACCGGGAATCCTGACTCGCAGACATGATCCTTAGAAACTAGGGCGGAGTGCCCGCCTATCGACAACTTATAGAGCGCCCGACCCCGCCCCGGCTTTGGCATTGGCCTGGCAGTCTGGTCCCCGCCTGCCGGCGCTCTACAACTCGGCGTGACGCTAGTTCGTAGGCGCTCTAACTAGCAGCCTTTATTGGATAGCTTGAGTGCCTGTCAAGATGGAGACCCACCCCGCCACGTCATTGGCCAGGGTGCTTGTCCCTCTCGCCGATGCGGAAGTGACATCCGGGAGTCAGGCCTCGAGGCCTGGCCGCCATCTTGCGGCCCTGCACCCTCACACGTGCGGAGGTAGTCGTGCCTCGGTCATGTGGCTCAGCTGGTCCTATCAAGCGAGGAGGCAAGGTCTCAGCCTCGAGAGACTTCCGGACTCCCGGGACTGCCACTTCTCTTCTCTGCCAGGTTTCCACAGGACCCAAATTTTATTTATATTCTCCCTTACGGGAAAGATACATCTGACGCCCGGGCGTGTCCTAAGTAGTAGGGATGACAAAATCGGACGTGATATCCTCAACGCTGGAGGGTTCCCCGGCTGGGGAAGAAAAGACGAGGGGCCTGTTTCTAGGTTAGGGCCACGTTGGATAGCCCTGGCTAGCTCCCTTCAATCCTGTCCCGCAACTGTCGCTCAAGACCGCTTATTTCTGAAGTTTATCCGTTCTCCCTTCTCCCTGCCTGCTGCTCCCTAGGCTGGGAATTTATTTTGTGTCGTAAAGATGGGGCGTTGGCATTGCTTGACTCGGGTATGAAAGGCTGCCTTCTTCGGACTTAAGGGGTGCAAGAGCACATTAGGGGCCCATTTTGTTTTCTAAGACGGGGTCTCAGTACTAGTTCAGGCTGGCCTTGAACTTGCTTTGATCCTCCTGCCTCAGCCTCCCGAGGGCTAGGATTATAGGCATGCGCCACCATGCCGGCTATTTTGAGGCTCTTTAAGGAAGACCACCAGTTACGTATCTCCAAAGGATCCTTTATTAACCAGAGCAGGACCGTGGCGTTTATATATATATATATATATAAAAAAAAGTTTGAAGATTTGGCAGGCAGTAATCCCTTTGCTCCCCCCACCCCACAAGGATTTCCAGCCCCCTGTGCATGGAAGGGGGATGACTGCTCCACCCAGGCCACAAGGCAATACTCCTCTCTGCAAAGAGGAAGAAAAGGGCTTTTCCGTGGCCACTCCCTGCCTATCAGAAATCAAGAAGATTCTCTCAAAGAAAAAAAATACAGAAATCAAACATTTAAATATGAAAAAAGGTAGTGGGAGGGGAGAGGCAAGAGGAAAAGAACTGGAGTTTCTTGGGAAGGGTATCCCATGTCCCCCTGCCCATTAATGGGCCTAGGGTCTGGGGTGCGAGGCTCACACAGTGAGTTTGCAGTGACACAGCTCCTTGTAGATCTGCCGTCGAAGTTTGGGCATGTCCTGCTGGGTGAAGCTGAATGGCTGAGACAGGGCCAGGTGCTTGCAGTACTGGGTGTTAACAAAGCAGAACATGAGAACCAAATACTGATCATCCCTCCCAAATCAGGACCCTGCTACACATTTCATATACCATGTCTCAGCCTCCATTTCACATACAGGGGAAGCCAAGGTCTTACAATCTCATAGTCTGGGGTTCAAAAACAGCCTAAGTGTAACAGTTGTTGTTTTTACCATACCATTAAGCTACACTGTAAGTGGGAGAAAATATACTGAGGGTTTCAGAGGTAGCCTGAATCAAGGACTGGAATGGAGAACCCTATAAAATCAGGGTTTTGGGGCCAGCCAAATAGCTCAGCAGATTAAAGCACCTCCAAGAAGGCACAGGGGCCAGGGGTTCGATCTCCGGGCCTGGCGCGCTGGCCCCCCCCCCCCCCCCATACCCCCGGGCACTGAGATGGCAATTGAGACTGGGCTGGGCGTGATGGTGCACACCTATAATCCCAGCTCTTGCAAAGAAGTAAACAGACAGATCACTATGAGTCCAGATCTAGTACTGAGATCCAGAACACCCTGTAGACCCTTCCCTAAAAATACAAAAAATCAGGGTTTTATGTTCTAATTCATAAAGCTACTCCCTGCCCCACAGTTGTGAACCAAATGAGGAAACTGCCTCCAGGCAATAACCCAACTTCTCCAGAGCTAGAGAAGGAAGCCCCAGTCATCTTACCTGCAAAACAAAGGCTCCACAATCACTGTCATTATTTTGCCTGGCCACATTCTAGAGAACAGAAAGGAAGACCCTATTCACTTGAAGACTCCCAGGGATATATGACTGCAACTTCTATCCCCTACAACTCCCCCCATAATCACCTCATTCCCCTCAGAAACTCACCATTTTAAAGTAACCTTTCCAGCCCTGGTGGAAATCCAGTCGGTCTTTCTTCACTGCCTCTGCCTGTAGATACTTGGCAATATGCTAAGTGAATGAGGAAAAAGGTAAGTTATGCCAACTGAACCCAGGATACGGTGGTGGCAAGTCATGGACACCATGTCCAAATCATGCCACAGAGACCCTGAAACCCTGCAACTCCTTGCCACTGAATCTCCCTACATTCTACTTTGTCCTCCCTCTACCCCTCAAACCTTAGGGCAACGGCGATTTAGAGTGCGCTGTGAGTCAAAGTAAGTGATGGTGCGTTGCCTCACATCAACAGAAATGAGGGACCAGTGTACCTCCAGGTGTATGGGGATTAACAGGAGCTCCTTATTGAAGATGTCCACCTAAAGAAAGAACCCAAAGGTCAGGTACAACAGAGAATCCTGGCAGTTGCCAAAAGTTCTTTTTTTGTTTTAAATGTTTTTGGTACAGGGTCTCGCTACACAGCTCAGACTCAGTGATCCTCCTATTTTTGGCCTCCAGAGCTGAGATTACAGGCGTGCACCTCCACGCCTGGTCTCAGTGGCTGGCTTGGGACACCTGAGGCGGGGCCAGCACAGTGTGTATGGGAGATCAAACCAGGTCCTTGTGCTTGCCAGGCAGGCACTTAGTCCACTGAGCTATCTCCCTGGCCCAACACTTAGATTCTCAAGAGAGGAAACCAAGAACAAACAGTACAGAGAGAACATATAAGTGTCAGATTCTTGTT